TGAGCAACCTGGTCTGGTGGGAGGTGTCTGGTGGAAGGGGTTGAAACTGGACAGTCTTTAAGGTCTCTTCCAACCAGACCATCCCATGATTCTATGAATAGCATACGATTTGCAAAAGAAAGAAAGAAAAAGGATTTAGATCAATTATAGCACATGCTGCCAGCATGCGAGAACGTGGGTCACTGTGGGAAAGGACTGTTCTGTAGTGGAGAGGAAAGAAAAGAAGAGTCAGGCATGCCTGGGACAACGCCGCAGGGAAGACAAGGCCAAGGCATCCCCCCAAAGGACACCAACAAGCTACCTTCACGAACATGAAGCCTGTTCAGGCAGGAGGTGACATGTGACAGGCCAACGGTTGCCTGAACGGCTATTGAATGTCCACTAGAAAGACATAACAAACCAGCAGAAAGGGGCTCGTAACTTCACCTGCTGATAGGCACACCACCTCACTCACTATATTCAAAGTCAAACCCCCGAGGAGCGGGCTACTTGTATCACAGGGCAAACAAAAGCACGAATTATAGTATCTGCAAATCAAATGAAAAATTACACCAAGATGACAAGCTACGCAAAACTTAAAAATACTTTGGATCGATGCTAAAAACTGACTAGATTTGAAACTAGTATCATATAAACACTTCCATTCCTAAATTTACTAACCAGCTTTGCATCTCTGTTGCGTTCTGAATGCGTATCGATCACAGTCCTCTCGCGTGATGTTGTATTTTGCAGCCAGATTTTCAGCTGTAACGGCCATAGGTATTTTAACATGTGTATCTGTTAGACCTTCCCACAACGTGTCTTCCAACTGCACGGAACATTATGAAAAGAAAACTATAAAGCACAGCAACATTAAGGTTTGTTATTGACCGTTTCTAATTATTCAGCAGCCTCTTGGAAACTAATGTCTCTTTGTAAAATTAACTCAAGTTACCTACAGATACTGTATTTAAATTAGAACAAACACACTGCAAAACGGTATGCAAGTTCCCGTGTGTTATTTCAGTTAATCTATGGTGTGTTCCAGTGTGGTTCTTTCCACTCGCACGTGGCCCTGAGAGGTTTCGTAAAAGCCTGTGATTCTTGGCATTATAGCGTATTTCACTGCAGCATGAATTATTTATTAGAGACCTATAAGAAAACACACCTCTCTTTCTGGTTACCAAGAAGGAAAGGTGAGGAACTGTGAAAAGGCACAGCAGCCTACTGATTCTTTGGCTTTTTCTCTATCATCAGGTAAAATCACCTTACTTGAGTTAAAGCTTTCTGTGGTTAAAAACATCTCAGGTGAGCAAATACCCAAGTCACCAGCTTCATAATGGAAAAACATCATAGAAAAACCAAAGGGCTGCAACACTGAAATACCCTAATTTAGCATTTTGATGTTGGTTATGACCCACTGAGTAAATGGTAGTTAACAGAGCTGAACTGGATCCTGCTGCAAATTTCCCACAGTATTCACTAAGGATTTATCTTCAGAAGAAGATGTAAAAATAACTTACCTGTCAATAGGCTGAACTTCAAGTTTCCACTTTTAAAATTGAGAATGCTTACAGCTTGGAGGTATGCATGTTCTTTACCAGTCTATCTACCCACTGCTAGCCTTACTAGCTTTACTTAAACTGTGTATGGCTCTATTGCACAGCCTCTGACAAGTTTTTATATTATATACAGTACTTTGATGGGACGTACCAAGTGAACTAAGTTTTGTGTCTAAGAGTGTATTGATATGTTTAACATGCAACAGGAATTCAAATATGGTCTTGGAAAAGCTAGAAAATTGGCATTCTTAACAAAATTGCCTGAACCTACTGGTTTGATAATGTCTCAATACTGGATAAACGCTTTGAACAACTAAAACTGGATCTAATCTCCAATAATTTCATTTGCAAGGATATAGTGTCTACAGGCCTGATAGTTTACACGTTGCTCTGTAAACATGACTTTGTTCAGAGGGGGGAAAAAAAAAAAGTAAAAAAAAAAAAGTACTAGACCTTGAGCTCTGCTCCTAATCTGGTTCCAAATCGAATGTTTCGAACTGCATAAGGAGCCTGGCTCATATTTTCAGCTCCGCCACACAGAACAACTTCTGAGTCATTAAGGCAAATTTCCTGTTAACAGAAAAACAAAACAGATCAAGGATTTAGTTTGCTGTTTTTGTAAGACAATAACAACCGTTTTAGAAAAAGACTTCGTCACCTACAAAGCCATACACAGAGAATGAATTCAAGCTCAGCCATGTGTATATTTATGAACAGTTTACTTTTCTATTAAGAGTGGGGTCTGTTTCTTTCATTACGTGTCCTTTTTTCCTCCTTTCAGCAAGGAATGATTATATCAATGAGGGAGGAAGAGAATATGGGTGCACACATACGACAGGATGGAGGGACAAAGCCATTAAGCATCTGCATGCTTGTGTGGTTAGGCTCACAGATGGTTGAGCTTTTTTTTTTCCCCTGAGCTCCCAATCTTCTCAAAAGCAATACAAATTAAACCTCAAAGCCTGAAACTAGACCTTACGATTCTAAAAAAATGGGACATCATTTTAGAAAATGTTAGCCAGGTAAGCTGCCAAAAGAAACCCCCAAAACGCACTGATTCATCATTGACAAAGCGCACAGAACCTAAAGTCTGAACGCACCACCAGACCACTCAAAAATTCTGCTTCCTTAAAATGATTCACTCAGTTAGACAGTTAAGGTTCTTTGTGTACTGGAATGGAAGCAGATGAAATTATCTCGATATGCGTTTGAGATGACTAGTTAATAATTAGTATGACTGATTTGTAGTAATACCTGCTGAGATGCTTCCTGTAATTACCAAAAACTTTGCGCACGTTTAAGCAGCTCAGAATGGAATCCACAGCTCTGTTGTGTGCCAGGGAAATACAGAAACATGAGCTGCATTGATGAAATGCCATCTTTGGCAAAGATCTCACAACCATACTTTCGATATAAGCGGTCAAATTCCCCAACAGATTTTTTCAGTGTAGACTAGCGTCTACATAGCCTTTGCAGAAAGCACTAGAAAAAATGGTCAGCTGGATATTATTGTAAACATGTAACCTTAACTCTACATTGTCTTGCACATTTTTTCCTCTAGAGGATCAGACCTAAAATAATTCTCTAGCCAATGGGAACTTTAAAAAAAATCCGACTATCTGGTTGCTCAAATATCCATAAAATACTGTTTAATTTTGTAAAGCCTAGACCACTGCTACTCGTAGAGCACTGGTCTGTATGAACAAATGAAATAAAAATCACTGTACCATCTGACTCAGTGGTTTAGGCCAACTGCTCAAAGAGAAGTTGATTTTCTTCTATTTTAAAAGAAGTCAAGCTATAAATTATCTAACCCATGAGAAGGTTTGGATCTTTGAACAAAAACATCCTTAAAAAGCACAGGCTGCTGCTTACATAGGTGAGAAAATAAACAACGATCAAAAGCTGAAAGCCTCCTGTTGTGGTACTGATACCCAGTAATTCCAGTTCACACAAACAGGGTCACAGAATGCAACTATTGCCCAGCTGAGCTCTATTTCACCGGCTAACACTTGTTGCGTTCCTTATATTAAACTCAAAATAGCTACAATGATGATTTTTTAAAAACCAACCACAAAATATGGCACTGTGGAAGCTGAACTCCTGCACAAAAATATGCAGGACAATAGGAAGTCTCTACCAGTGGTAGCTAAAAATCCATGTTAAGATTCATCCCAAACACAAAGTACACGTTTCTACCCACATCTCGTATCTCACGTTAACATTTCGATAAAGGTTACAACTAACACAGAACTACAGAGCTTTGTACCTGACATCCACTGGCAATGGACTGGAAACCAGAGCCACAAAGTCTGTTGACAGTGAGGGCTGGAACCGGGACAGGAACTCCCACACGTAAACCAACGTGTCTGGCAATATAAATCGCATCTGCGGAGCTCTGCGGACAGAACAAACAGGAGGTTTCGTTACGCTCTAATTTCTTTGGAGACTAAAAGTCTTGATGAAAAGTCAGAATGGTGAAATTGCATCACCGATAGAAGATAGCAAAACCCCTACGAGTCAGAAGCAGCACTTTGCTTCACTTCAAAAAGACACCATCCTATATGATCAAAAAGGGCCAATGTCTTAACATGCACTTTAAAGAAACTGTGTGTCGTAAAAGTTAGATGTCAGGACAAAAATGGGATTACAGATGTTAAGACTGAAGTCGGCAACTTAATAGTCTTATGTTTTCCCTTATTTTCAAAACAGCATACGCACAACAGACTGACAAAAGACCAGATCCTGACTGGCAAGCAGCAATTATTTCAAGGTAAATTAAAATTACTCAAACAGGGGAAGGCCCCCCAAAACCAGATAGTGTGGAAAATGCGGAGATGACATTGCTGCTTCATATCCCCTTTGTCAAATCTCCTAACTGTGATGTTCTAATGGGACATTGGCCTGTCCTAACAATGAAATCTCATTCCTCCAAAGCTTTTCAAAGGAGGTTCTATCACATTTCTATTTAAAAAGCAAAGTACTGCACAGAGAGCAGTTTGCTTCAGAACCCACTCCTTTAATAAACCAGGCTCCAACGTGAGATAAAATAAAAACGATTAGGCTTCTGCATTTCAACTACCGAGTCAGCAGATGATGGTGAGCACAGGTACAGAATAAAAAATTCTAACAGCACTGCTATAGGTTTGTAATGGATCTTTTCCAAACAAAGAGAACACTTATGCTCTGGGGGATCATGCCCTGAGCCAATATATATTATAAAGACAAAGTTCTGTGCACAATGCAAGTTCAGGAAAAATAAAAAACTAATAAAGGCACTTCTGCTGAAGAAGGGGATTTTACAATGGTCATACATTCATAGTTATTTAAACTTCATCAAATAATACTTAAAAGGAATCCAGGAGTGAAAAAAGAAAATCTGTTGGGATGGGGAAGTACAATGCAAAGGAAAGGAAATGTAATTTCAACATGAAAAGATGTTTTATCAGGAGAATGCTATTTTTTATGTGAAAGCTTTACAAGAGATTTGGATGCAGTATTTTTTTTTCTAGGCCACCAACAGTTCTTACTAAAAAGTTGAATAAAAGAAGCTGAGATGGTAGCTGTAGGAGATAGAACAATCAAAAGCTACTCTTTCGGCTGAAAATCCTTAAGAAGGAATACTACTTGTTTGTTCACTTATCATGAAAGTTTTCAGTTATTTGTTTCTTCTGCATCCTTGAAACACTCAGTGCAAAATAAGAGTGCCTACCCTTAATAACAGTGACGTCAGAATACCAAACCAAACCAGAAATGCTCTTTGCTGTCTTACTTAAAACAAAGACCCTCATCTAGCTGTGCGGATAACTGCAGTTTTGCGATGCCGGTGCCCTGCGCAAAATAGCATCTACGTCACAAGCTCTTTGGAAAAGATAGGATTGTCCACATGACTCTGCCCATCCAGGCATGTATCCTTCCAGTTCAAAGTACACTCATATTCCCTCAAAAAAATTCTACAGAAAACTCAAGGGAAATGGACTCAAATCGGCTACAGAAAGAAAGGGATTTATACAACCCAGTGAAAACCAACTGATCAGGAGTTACACAGCTCAAGTCATTCAAACAGGAAAAACGTACCAGGGATTAGCAACTAACCATTTAATGAATCCACAGTTTTTTAGAAGATCAGCCTGTCCTAGTTTAAACTCTTTGGTACTAAAAAAAAAAGGCAAGCTAAGCCTTGCTCCCGATAATATCACAAATCATGCAGGGTACGCCCCTTAAATATGAACGGGAAACACTACCCTATAAACGCTACTTACCCATTTCATCTCCACCCCTTCGGTTTACTCTTCGCTGCAAAACAGAGGTACCTATCTATAAGACCACATTGAAGGAGATGACTGAAATCATCGCTGACCAGCAAATTTTCCGTGCTACCAACCTGCATGACGTTGCCGATGACGACACTGTCAATGATCTCTGGAGAGACCTTGCCAGCGGCCAAGGCAGCTCGAGCAGCATGTTCTGTCAGATCGGTGGCCGTGAAGTCCTTCAGCAAACCTCCATAGGTCCCGAAAGGAGTTCTCTTCGCTGCAACAATGAATACACCTGCAACAGAAACAAGAATTATCCAGAGGTGCAGAATCTATCAAACAGAAAAGCACCACGTCAGCCTCAACTGGGTAACATCCGAAATTCCCAAGAAGCTGTGTAAATAGATGTGGTACTTCAAGACATGGTTTAGTGGACATGGTGGCATCAGGTATACGGTTGGACTTGATGATCTTTGAGGTCTCTTCCAACCATAATGATTCTATGATTCTATTCTATATAGGCAAGGTGAACCCACGCAGCTCAAGATAAATAAGCTACAAGATATAGCAATGCTTTAGACAGGGAAGGTATGCAGAATTAATGATCAGAAAGAAAAGCTGAGAAGATTCCAGAAATACCTCCTTTCCACAAAGAGGACTGAAAAAAAAAACCCAGATAGTTTGGATACCGGGCGGACAAAGGAGGCTGTCGCACCGCATCCGATATTAGTGCTAGAGTGCTAAAAGCATGGAAGCAACATCCATGAAATCTCACAGTGGATACCTGTGAAATAATCAGATGAGGAACCGTTCTTTTAAAAAACAAAGAGGCCATTCCATCATCCTAGAAAAATCAGCACGTTTTTGGCTTATACTCTGAAACAGTTTTCACAAAGGGAAAAAAACCCAAAACAACCAAACAATAAAGCAAACCAAGAAAACTTTCTATATGCATTTTAACTTTGCTTCCTTTAACTTAAGAAGAAAAACATTTCCTAACCAAAAACTTCATGCCATTTCCAGAATTATCCAGGTCATCTAAACTGCATTAGCATCAGTCCTCCAGGTTCTGAGAAGAAAATCCACTTTTCAACAGACAGGAGAGCGTCTGCAAGCGCATGTGTGTACAAACGCGTTGGCCAGAAGTAGCTTATAGGAATTTTAGCTTGGGAGAAGCTGTCCCTGAATCCAACCGAACGCGTACCGACCGCTTGTCACAGCGGCTCTCTGCTTCTGCCTGCAGGCTCTGAACTTTCCCCCAGTTGAACAACAGAGTTCCCAGATCCCTTTTTTTACAGCTGCCACGAAGCATCCACGGTTATTTTAAGTAACGCTGGAAGGATATATACAGATAGCAGAATGAAGGGAAATGAAAACGCCTGCTCATTAAGTTGCTGATGAACACTGTTTTCTGGCCTTCTGATCCATATTCTTTGGCTGGTTTGGATCCCAGGCTGCGTGATTTATAGAAAAGGACTTTCCAAACCGGTGAAGGTCAAGCTTGCCTCACTGACAAGGCCCTGAACGCAACGTTGGGATCTGAAACAGGCAACGAATATGCTCAGGAGATCAGCTGGGAAATACCCTGAAGAAGATGAAGCAAGAATTGCAGCTTCAAGGATAGGGATGAATGTGAAAAACAGCCTCCCACCACGATGCTGCCCACGGGCTTCCCTCTGGGGTACCCAGAAGACCTTAGAAAGAAATCTTTGCTAAGCACGCTTCATATGTAGTGTTCACTTAAAACGTAGTGCTGACATGATAACTATTCAAAAAAAACAACCTGTGAGAAGTACAATTTATTTCCTCAAAGGAATAAATAGGTGCTAACTATTCTACATCCAAAAAGTCCACACTTGAGGTTTTTAAGTGGAGAAGGAACACCAGAGTCATTAAAAAGACATATCTCAAGAGGTATCTATATATTCAGAGGTCTGAAAAGGAACAAAGCTGGTGCTGCGGGGAAGGTCCTGTACCCAGGTTTGGAACAAACGCTCAGAATTTACCCCTTGTATACACACAGTGTATGCTATATCCATCATCAATTTTCACTCTTCATTTAATCATCATTCGACTGACACCAGCAAGCAAATCAATTTAATCCAAAACAATTCTGAATCCATTGACTAAACTTTTTTTATTTTGGTTGTACGTGTTTTTGCAAAAAAAGCTGAAAACTACTAACAGACACGAGGTGTGAACCCCTACAAGGTTGGTTTTTTTAACCAAGGGGAGGATGCTTTAACTGATTTATGTTTACAGAAAACACATGTGTTCAATACAGTCGCTACAGAATTAGTCCCTGGACTAAGCATTCAAGTGACATTTAAATTTAGACCAGTAGTTTTCATGTAACTATCCAAAATGTATTGCACCAACAATAACTTATGAAATATTGAGTCTTCATTAAGTGTTAACAACGCTTGTAAAGAAAAGACCCTTAGCTCTTGTAAGGATTATCTCACGTTCCTAAGCTTATCTTCTCTGTAGCACAGGGGGCCCTGACATTCATCCTTCCACTGTTCCTCCCACCCACCGATTCCTGCCCCTCCGTCTCCTCCAAAATCGTGCCACCAACAGCTGACCACAAAGCTTTCCCGCGGACCACCTCAGGGACCTGACCAAACGAAAAGAACTTGTTCTCCAGGTTGTCGGTTATCCACGTTATTTGTTAAATTACATAAACCGTGTTGCCTTACAAACAAACAGTCCGGGGACGAGGGTGGAACTTTGCCCTTAAACCTTCCTGTCACAAGAACAACAACCTCTCTTTCTCTTTTTCACCGAGGCTGTTCACTGCTGTCCGCTTCTTCACAACAACACCAAGGGGCCAAAGCGCCAACCGGAGCGGATCACGTAATGGAGGCAGCTGCAGACTAACCCAGAGCTGGCGGAAAATGAGGGGCTAATTTCCATTTGGATCCGTTCTGCACCCAAGTTCATCTCCTAGTTGCTCAATAAAACAGTAATTCGAGGCTAAGAGAGAAGGCTGGACTGAACCAGTAAGGGAAGAAGAAGCAGCACAACCCGTGTTGAGTTATGCTGAATTAAACTGACCCACCTAATTTTGCTTAATTGGAGAGACATCTACAACTGCTGCTCCTTCCACAGAAATTCAGGAGGGCCAACAAGGGGTGGCTGAAGTCCTGAGCGAGAAAAGACTCCATGGCCTTTGACAGCTCTTCCTAAATCTCCATTAATTAGTACTGTCCTACATTACCATGTAATGATAAACATCAGATGAGAGCAGAATACTACCAAATGCATAGGGATCTGGAAACTTTTGGGGCTAGAAAGCGAAGGTCACTCTGAATCCTTATCAAAACACTCCGTTCAAGGCATCTTTTAATCTGCTTTTGTTAACCACTTGCTGCCAAACAGGGATCTGCTGTTACAGGTCTGAAACCTTCTCTAAGCCTCCAACATTTCTCAAATGCGCTTGGTACGAAAATATTTCTTTGTCAGATCCTATTTTGAAGGTCTAAAAAACAATCATTAACCTGCAAAAAAAACTAAGGAGCAAGAACAGCCTATGAAAACCATTGTGGCAAGAGATGGGAGAAGATCCTGAAACAGGCACAGAAAACTACCATCAAACAAACATGGGCAGAGCTGCTCTCTGTATTATCCAGCTCAGTAAAGCAATACCAAATTATGCAACACCGACCCGGTAGGTTTTTGGCACCGAACCCTCAAACCACGACTGACACGTATGTTATTATTTAGGTACAGCCTGTCAAGTAGCAAAGCACTTTCAAATAGATAAAAAGCCCTACTCCGCTAAATTTCGATTCTGTTTTTAAACAAGATCAGGTTTTAAAGGGCGTATTTCTCTCATTTTTAAGAGACGTAAAATTTAACCCACGGAGAGCACAAAGCACCTCTTTGCACAAAACGCTTCCAGGAGCGGTTGGCACGCACAAGCAGAGTTTATCCCGCGCTGTTAGTGCTAACAGAGGCAGGGGCTGGGTGTGACAAATGAAGTTGTCAGTGGCTGACAGCCCAAGTGTCATCTCCAGTGACTTCCAGTCCCTGCACGGCCGGTTACTGGGACATGGATACCTATAGCACCCTTCGCTATAGGTTGGTTTGTACCACCAGCACCTTACGCCTTGCAGAAAGTCGAAGGCAGTGTATTCTGTTGTGTGAAACAGAGCGGCCTGCCACCGACCCCGCGTTCCCCTTCTCCCTCCTCAGCACCTCAGGCTGGTTTCTGAAAGGTCCCGTTTATTTCCAGCCGTTTCTCGCACGGAT